CCCAGGTATTCAAAAGTTGGTCCCACGGTATGACAAATGTCTCAATTCCGGTGGCGAATATGTTGAAAAATAGCTGGACACTTGCTGTATCTGTTGCAATAAATATTTCCATGAAATTGTGTTTTGTTTCTGTAAACGGCCCCAGGGAAACTTACTTTAAGGACGAGCCTCGTATTTTCGATTGCGGGAAATTAAAAACTCGAATATATCAATGTTCTTTAATTCGGAAAGTCTTTTTACACATGCTGCCATCTGTACGCTACGTTCAATGAGTACAGTAGAGTTCCGTTATTTTCGAAAACGTTTTTGATCTTTGCAATTCATATTGAATATTAAATTGTTTTACTTAATTTCCGTCACTTGAATGTGTTTAGATTCAATTGAAACACCTTTATTTACGTATGGAGAATTGTGTGCGCGAATCATTACGTTTGAAGCTACAACGCGCTTAGATAACCGTATCACTATTTGTTTCTAAGCCATAAAAATCTTTCTGCAGTTATTTTGTGCATTTGTTAGTCTGATGACGTATCTGTGCACGTGTAGGCACCATTTGGAAATTATAAGGAAACGTCCCTGTGCTTAATTCCTTGTTGATAATGTCTGATGTTGGTGACCATGGCAAATTTAGCGTTTCTTCCACCTCGCGACTTTGATGCCATCGTGTGAATTTATTACAAGTGTTGTGACACGAAGGGGTATGCATTTCTATTACTTACCTGTGGCACGATGTCCATACAAAATTTCAGCAATTTCCGACCATCCATGATCTTTTTCGAAAATTCGTGCGCAGGTCTCCATGTTGAGGTGACGCTGATTACCCCTGTTGGGTTGAGTTGAGTTGGGTTAGGTTAGGTTAGTGGGGCATCTGCGCAGTAGGTGATGCGCAGAGATGTGATGCATGTTGTCTATCTTAAGGAATCGTATGATTTCTATTATCGATTGCTGCACATTAAACACTCAAATAAATCAGTGTTCTTAAATTATTGAACAATCTTGTTTTTGAACCTCTACCATAGCTTTATACTTCAAAGATTTTACATTGGTTACCTTCTTGTTGACCTCGATAGACTCTTGGCTCACGTCACTTAAGCTTGATTTTACACAATTATAATTGTAGACTTGTATGTGTGGTGTGCTTACGCTTAAGTACTATTAGTACACAAGCTTAAATTTTATTTTAAAATGTATCGAGTGCAATACACCTTGTTGAAATAGTCGGATATTGGTGATGGTGACCGATTACGCGTTTCTTCCACCTCGCGACTTTGATGGCTTCGTGTGAATTTATTACAAGTGTTTTGGCACAAAAGAGTATGAATATTTATTAGATACCTGTGGCACGTCGTCCATTCAAAATTTCAGGAATTTCCGACCACCCATGTTGTATTTCGAAAATTCGTGCGCAGGGCGCCATGTTCAGCTGAAGCAGAATACCTCTGATGGGTTGTGTTGTGTTAGTCAGGTTAGGTTAATGGGGCATCTGCGCAGAAGTTGATGCGCAGTGACGTTATGCAAATTGTCTACGTTGAGGCATCGTATGAGTTCTATTATCGATTGCTAGATATTAAAGACTCTAATATTTCAATGTTCTCACAATATAGAACAATCCTATATTTGAGGCACTACCATAACTTTACACTTCAAAGATGTTATATCTTTTACCTTCTTGTTGACATCTAAAGAATCTTGTCTCACGTCACTTATGCATGTTTTTCCGCAATTGTGGTTGTTTTATTACATTTGATGTCCTCTTACGCTTAATAATTATTAGTACACATGTCATAAGTTTATTTAAAAGTGTGTCTAAATATTACAAAGATCCGGATTGTCAGAAATATATATGTATACATATGCTCATAAATGTTACATTTAGACATGTCCAACCTCTGTACATCAGGTACATCTGAAATTTATTTGGCTCTCACCATAGGAAGCACACGCCACTTTTGTGCAGACGTGTTGTGTCGAAAGTTAATTCACGGAATTTAATGCCACATCTCTACAATTCACACTCACACGTACATCAGAACGTAAGTGTAATGTTCTACTTGTGTCCATCTTGCATACGTCACTGGAAGGGTGAACGTCCTGTCGTGTTCACCTTACGAATCACACAGTAGTTTTATATATATCGCAATAAATAAGTGTTGTTAATTATCCCGATGAACATCGTTGTTTGAGTACCGACGTACGAAAACTTGATGTTAAGATGTTGAATAACTCTTAGCTAAATTCCAAGGCTAACATTGAATCACGGAGTGTGCACTGCCTCTCAACAAAAATCAATAACGACTGACATTCACTTCCGTGGCTGACATGTATCTCACGTATGTGAAAGCTGGTGTACAGGTCCTTCCAATCAAATCGGCACACGTAACTTTCAGTTTAGAGTTTTCTCCGTTAGAGTGCGTTAATTTGTGTGCCCTGATATCCGCCAACCGCTACGTAGAAGGATTATTGATTTACCTGACTGCAACAGCACGTCACATCATTCTAATTCGGAAATTCCTTTTACACATGCTGCCATCTGTACGCTACTTTCAATGAGTACGAACAGTTGCGTAATTTTCGAAAACGTTTTCGATCTTTGCAATTCATATTGAATATTAAATAGCTTTTTAATTTCCGTCACTTGAATGTGTTTGGATTCAATTGGAACACCTTTATTTACGTATGGTGAATTGTGTGCGCGAATCATTACGTTTGAAGCTACAACGCGCTTAGATAAGCGTATCACTATTTCTTTCTTCGCCATAAAAATGTTTCGTCAGGCATTTTGTGCATTTGTTAGTCTGATGATGTGTCTGTGGACGTATAGGCACCATTTGGAAATTATAAAGAAACTTACCTGTGCATAATTCCTTGTTGATAATGTCTGATGTTGGTGACCGTGGCCGATTTAGCGTTTCTTCCACCTCGCGACTTTGATGCCTTCGTGTGAATTTATTACAAGTGTTGTGAAACGATACGTTATGAATTTCTATTTCTTACCTGTGGCACGAGGTCCATACAATATTTCAGCAATTTCCGACCTTCAATGATCTATTTCGAAAATTCGTGCGCAGGTCTCCATGTTGAGGTGACGCTGATTACCCCTGTTGGGTTGAGTTGGGTTAGATTAGGTTAGGTTAGTGGAGCATCTGCGCAGTAGATGATGCGCAGTGATGTGAAGCATTGTCAGAAATATATATGTATACATATGCTCATAAATGTTACATTTAGACATGTCCAACCTCTGTACATCAGGTACATCTGAAATTTATTTGGCTCTCACCATAGGAAGCACACGCCACTTTTGTGCAGACGTGTTGTGTCGAAAGTTAATTCACGGAATTTAATGCCACATCTCTACAATTCACACTCACACGTACATCAGAACGTAAGTGTAATGTTCTACTTGTGTCCATCTTGCATACGTCACTGGAAGGGTGAACGTCCTGTCGTGTTCACCTTACGAATCACACAGTAGTTTTATATATATCGCAATAAATAAGTGTTGTTAATTATCCCGATGAACATCGTTGTTTGAGTACCGACGTACGAAAACTTGATGTTAAGATGTTGAATAACTCTTAGCTAAATTCCAAGGCTAACATTGAATCACGGAGTGTGCACTGCCTCTCAACAAAAATCAATAACGACTGACATTCACTTCCGTGGCTGACATGTATCTCACGTATGTGAAAGCTGGTGTACAGGTCCTTCCAATCAAATCGGCACACGTAACTTTCAGTTTAGAGTTTTCTCCGTTAGAGTGCGTTAATTTGTGTGCCCTGATATCCGCCAACCGCTACGTAGAAGGATTATTGATTTACCTGACTGCAACAGCACGTCACATCATTCTAATTCGGAAATTCCTTTTACACATGCTGCCATCTGTACGCTACTTTCAATGAGTACATTCAAAATTTCAGCAATTTCCGACCATAAATGTTGTATTTCGAAAATTCGTGCGCAGGGCGCCATGTTCAGCTGAAGCAGAATACCTCTGATGGGTTGTGTTGTGTTAGTCAGGTTAGGTTAATGGGGCATCTGCGCAGAAGTTGATGCGCAGTGACGTTATGCAAATTGTCTACGTTGAGGCATCGTATGAGTTCTATTATCGATTGCTAGATATTAAAGACTCTAATATTTCAATGTTCTCACAATATAGAACAATCCTATATTTGAGGCACTACCATAACTTTACACTTCAAAGATGTTATATCTTTTACCTTCTTGTTGACATCTAAAGAATCTTGTCTCACGTCACTTATGCATGTTTTTCCGCAATTGTGGTTGTTTTATTACATTTGATGTCCTCTTACGCTTAATAAATATTAGTACACATATCATAAGTTTATTTAACCAGTCATTAGTACACATGTCATAAGTTTATTTAAAAGTGTGTCTAAATATTACAAAGATCCGGATTGTCAGAAATATATATGTACACATATGCACACAAATGTTACATTTAGACATGTCCAACCTCTGGTTAGGTTAGTTTAGGTTGGGTTAGGTTAGGTTAGGTTAGGTTAGTTTTGGATAGGTTAGGTTAGGTTCGGTTTAGTTAAGGGTAAACTAAGGGTAGGTTATATAATGTTTTTTTAACGATGGGTTGTGTTGTCCTGGAGAATTTGAATCGTGTTCATCGGGTGGTCGTGGGAATATCCTGGAGAAGTGCTGGAGAATCCTGGATAATTCCAGGAAAATTTCTGGAGAAATCCTGGAGAAGTCCAAGAGTATTGTTGGACAAGTCCTGGACACGTAATTCGGAAATTTTGTTGTCATAGAGTATTGCTGGAGAAATCCTGGAGAACTCCTGGAGAAGTCCTGGAAAGTTATTTGGAAATCCTTAAGCGGTGGTGATTTTGTTCCTATGCGGGTCGGCTGTTTTGAATTCATTTAAGTTTGTTTGGTATAAGTTATTTTGGATAGGTTGCGTTTTGTGTTAGGTTGGTTTAGGTTAGGTTAGGTTAGGTTAGGTTAGGTTGGGTTAGTTTAGGTTAGTTTCGGTTTAGTTAGGGGTAAGCTAAGTGTAGGTTGTATAATGTTGTTTTACGATGGGTTGTGTTGTCCTGGAGAATTTGAATCGTGGTCATCGGGTGGTCGTGGGAATATCCTGGAGAAGTGCTGGAGAATCGTGGAGAATTCCAGGAAAATTTTTGGAGATATCCTTTTGAAAAGTCCTAGAGTTGTGTTGGACATGTCCTGGAGACGTAATTCGGAATTTTTTGTCATGGAGTAATGCTGGATAAATAAACGTCCCTGTGCAAAATTCCTTGTTGATAATGTCTGATGTTGGTGACCATGGCAAATTTAGCGTTTCTTCCACCTCGCGACTTTGATGCCATCGTGTGAATTTATTACAAGTGTTGTGACACGAAGGGGTATGCATTTCTATTACTTACCTGTGGCACGATGTCCATACAAAATTTCAGCAATTTCCGACCATCCATGATCTTTTTCGAAAATTCGTGCGCAGGTCTCCATGTTGAGGTGACGCTGATTACCCCTGTTGGGTTGAGTTGAGTTGGGTTAGGTTAGGTTAGTGGGGCATCTGCGCAGTAGGTGATGCGCAGAGATGTGATGCATGTTGTCTATCTTAAGGAATCGTATGATTTCTATTATCGATTGCTGCACATTAAACACTCAAATAAATCAGTGTTCTTAAATTATTGAACAATCTTGTTTTTGAACCTCTACCATAGCTTTATACTTCAAAGATTTTACATTGGTTACCTTCTTGTTGACCTCGATAGACTCTTGGCTCACGTCACTTAAGCTTGATTTTACTCAATAGTAGTTGTTGACTTGTATGTGTGGTGTGCTTACGCTTAAGTACTATTAGTACA